GGCCCGGCATTCACCTCGTTCCCGTCGTCCTGCCGCCGAAGGTACTCACATCGCGGCATAAACGGCGATCCTGCCTCGGATCGTTGCTCGCGTAATCGCTCGTACGCGGCATGGTCGTACCCGCACGATCGTTATCGAGTGGGAACGCGCGCGCGCGTACGATAATCACGACCCCATGTGGATAACATGTGATAATCGTCGAGATTATCGGCCGCCACCGAATGGAAACGTTCGTTCGGTTCACGACGCGAGGCTGCGACGCGTGCTTGAGGTGCGAGGTCGGGGTGTCGCGAAATCGATCGCGATTCAATCGCGACGGGCGGGAGAAATAAAGCAGCTTTTTGCAAGCTGCTGGGGCACAAGTGTTTCATCGAGAAGAGCGTACTCGGGTATCTAAATGTGAGCGGTTTCGAGAACCCTAGAGTGCTTGGGAAAGGACGAGCGTGCCGGGTTTCAAGTATGACGTTCCTACGATTGATGACGATTATTTCTTTCTCTCTCTCTCTCTCTCTCTCTCTCTCTCTCTCTCTCTCTCTCTCTCTCTCTCTCTCTCTCTCTCGTGCAGCTCTTTCCTGTACTTAGAAAGTGAAATCAATTTCGTCCTGTCGACTAAATAGAAATTGAAATTGGAAATGGAGAAACAGATGGGCGCGTGTGTTTGGGAAGTCAGTCGTGAATTTCAACGTATCATTTTCTTCGTGCAAAGAGATATGTATGGATTTCTCGATTCTCTGCGACCCTACCACTTCGAGACTCAATATCTGCGTAACATTTATATGTATGATATATTTAATATCTCCGTGACAAATCTAAATTTACCTCTCGCAAGTTAATCGCGAACGAAAGGTCACGGAGGTTCGAAGGGGAAATGTATTTTCGATTTACGTCTGCCTCTTTACGAAGCCCTTCGGAGAAAATTGCCTTTCCCGTACCGATTCGGACCGATAGGAGACATAAGGAGCCGATCGTGTGTAATTTTCTGCGGGAACACGAGAAAGCGGGAAGTGGTCTGCATTTTCACGCGTTTCTCGAGATTGTGCATAAACTTTTTCCGACACGTGAAACGACTGGACTCGATTGGCTCGTCCGAACTTTATGGACGAGATTTGAAATGATGAAGGGTTATGATTGAAAAGAGATTCATTGACATGTACGTGAACTCGTCGACGCCCCGAATTGGACAGTTTGATGGTCGGCCTTTCCCTCCCCATCCCCTCTTTCCCCCTGCTGAACAACAAGTGGTGGTCAATTTATTTTGTATTTTTTACCGGGACGCATCGAGGACCCTGCAACACGATTATGTTTGAAGGATCGTTATGCATTCCTCGCGGTGTTACGGCGAAAATCGCAGACGCTATATCGCGTTGGCGCGATTGGTCGTGTATCGAATTACGTTATTTTTCGCACAACCGAAGAACTCGATATTGCATTAGGCTAATTCGCTCTCATCGGCAATAAACGCGATTGCGGATTTTGTATACAGCACTGCCGAATAGATGGAGGTAGAGAGATGGACCGACGAACTGTTGGATGGATGGATGGACGGATCGTTTTGGCAGAATTACGAATTCTCTCCCGAATTATGCTTGCGGGTACATCGCTCATATCGCTGTCCTCGATATAGATTTCACCGTGTGTGTGTGTGTGTTTGGTCGGGAATAACTGGAGTTTTAACTGATTAATCGACACTTCAGTGTTTATACGGCGCGCAATCACATTAAAAAATATCGGGCAGTAATTTCGCATCAAACGGTCGACCTGAACAACGACTTAACCGATTAAAACATTCGTCGCACCGTTTCCACCGAGACAAGAGAGACTCTTTCGTCGTGCGCGCGCGCGCGTACTGAGATGAAAAAGCAGCGGCAAACACGAACAGAAAGTAATTGAAGAAACGTAATAATTCAAGGGAGACAGAGGTAAGATTAATTTTTAGTCTCGCGTTACACAAGGGCCAGTGTTTGAAAGTTCGGCGAGCGAAAGAATCCTCCCAGAGAGACACCGTAAGTGTGCGCGCGCGCGCACGCGAACGACATTCTTTTCCTCCGTGTACGGAGGACGCGCACCGGGTGGTTGCGGAAGACGGCATGCGGAAACGTCGGCTCATAAAACTTTCAGCTGCAGCGACCGCAGGATTGCCGCTCGGCAAAGGAGAAGCGAGAGCCCGGAGTGAGGGGGAGAGAGAGAGAGAGAGAGAGAGGGAGACCGAGAGAGAGAGAGGGGGGGGGAGAGAGAGAGAGAGAGAGAGAGAGAGAGAGAGAGAGAGAGAGAGAGAGAGGAGATTCGTACGTCACCGCGCGCTGTAATACGCGGGCGCATTTTCGAGCTGACTAATTGCAGCGTTATAATTACACGAGGGGCTAATGCGCGCTTACACGGACCGGTAGATATTCGCATTTTGGCGTGAGTCTCCGTTCCTGTCCATTTCTCCCTCCTTCCCCCCTCCTCTCTCTCTCTCTCTCTCTCTCTCTCTCTCTCTCTCTCCTACTCTCGCACACACCCTCTCCATTTCTCTCCATCCATCTGCCCTCTTTCTCCGTTTATCCTTTGGCCCCGTATTAGGCTAATGTAACTGTAACTATGCGCCGGCCGTTACGGCGCGAAGAATTAAGCGGTATCAAAGTGTGAGCATAAATCTAATTATACAGAGGCGGGGCGGTATCGTGGCGTGCCGCCACTTGTAACGTTGCGCGGACGTTGTAAACCCGCCAGGCCAGGCCGCGGTCGGGGCAAACACGCGCGCGCTCGCGCGACGTGTAAGTTCGCGTGTAATTAATTAAACGCGAGATGACAGACACTTCGCCGTCCCTCGCTCGCGCATGCTTTAATAGCTCCTTTAGCCGGGCGTCGCGTATACGGCGCCGGGAACTTCGGGACAATATAGTTCACGTATCAGAAAATGTAACGGAGGCGTCGCGATGGCGCTCGTCGCTTGTTAGCGGCGCACGGAGCAGCGTAATCACACACTCAACGGGATTAAGGCGGCAGACTCCGAAAGCTGCTGCGAGTCCTGCGGTGAGTCCTTTCGCCGGTATTTACTTTTGCGCCGGCAGCGGCTTGCAGAAAGCGACTGTTTTCCCTAAGCCCGGCCACGGTAATTCCGTACAATTCCCGTCCGTCAGTCAATGGAAATGTGTTTCATTGATGAAATATTCGGGATCGTTTCGTTATCAATGGGATGAGTGTAAAAATAAAGATGACGTCCGTTTATATTTAGGTCTACGCGACTACGCCACACGCGCGCCTTTCTGTTTCTTTAACGCTCTCGTTTTCTCTCTTGCCCTCTCTCTCTCTCTCTCTCTCTCTCTCTCTCTCTCTCTCTCTCTCTCTCTCTCTCTCTCTCTCTCTCTCTCTCTCTCTCTCTCTCTCTCTCTCTCTCTCTCTCTCCTTCTCTCTTCCTCTCCCTGGTACACATTTAACTTCAAGGAAATCAGTTGCTTGCAACCACGTAACGTTCTATCTTCGTGACCTTGAGAGAGCATCTCTCGACGTGCGCTCCGAGTTTCGTCGTCACACTTGATCGCCGTACTATCTTCGATCAATCTAAAAAAAGGATTCCTATATTGATCCCACATCGGATAGCACGTGTCCCGTCGGCGCTCGTCTTCGTTCTCGGATGGGGGAATTTTAATAACATCAAGTATAATCCCTTATAGCGGCGGATCGATAATGGTGAGTTAGGCCGGCGGAGCCGGAGGATTCTTTTATTGACGGCTCCGAACTCGGTATCTATGCATGTATTCAGGTTAATGCCCCAGCTGTTGCCCGTCGATACACCACGTCCCTAGAACTTTGGCAGCTCGTGCACGCGATATATTCACGTTATTAAAGATGCGTCTCGAGTCTCGAGTATCCGCGATCCCACGAAGACAATGATGGTCGTTTCGCAGAGTCCGAAGAAAAGAGTCTCGCGTCGCGTCGCGGAATCGCGGAAAACGAATATTATGCGCGAGCGCGCGCAGACACACACATAAACACACACACACACACACACACACAGATACACATACTTTCGAAAAGCGGCCCCTAAAAGCGTCGTTAGCGGTAAAAGCATCGATAATGTACGGCGTGACGTACGAAAACGTTCACGTTGCCGGCCGTAATCTAATATTACTCGGCAAACTTCGCCTCCGGGGTCACTCGCGCCAGTTTAACGTGAAATATTTTGTTGCTCCTGCGACTGTGCACTATCTCTTTATTGACTTCTGGAGTTTAGCTACGCCGCGCTGCACTTTTAACGAGTCGCGCAACCGGCCACATACGTGAGCCCGCGCCGCCGGCTTCCCGGCCGCAATCTCGGGACTCGTTTGCTGTAACTACTGTTTCGCTTTTGTGTCCTGCGTCCGTGTACGTGCGCACGCTCGCTCGCTCGCTTGCGCTTCCGCGATATGTACACACCGCCTTGTGAATTGTAAAGTCCGCAGGAATTGCGCAATGTTGTATTATTGCGGGGATTTTTATTTTCTCTCTCTCTCTCTTTCTAGCGCGCGCGCGCGCACGCGTTCTTCCGCCGGGTGATTCAAAAAATGCAGAGACCTGGAAATTAGACGCGTGGATTATGCGGTCGCGAAGACATAGGTATTCATTAAAAGCCGAGGAATATAAGCGGCGAGAGGTGACTCGGAGATTTAAGATGTTTTCATTTATGCGGCGTAACCACGCGAAAGTTTTAATACGATTCGGCGACGGAATTTTGTCCGCGCAGATGGGGGAATAAGAATTTCTGTCTTTGCGCGATAATTCAGTGAGACGGAATTTTACCGTGCGTGTTTTATGCTTTCGTACGTTCAGCCCGGTCCACCCGTCGCGGATCCACACGTACCGATCCCCGAAATTCACTGGTCGCCGAGTGACGATACGGTAATTCAATCGCGAAATTTTGCACGACGTCACGCGTGTAATCTCGCGCCATCGCGAAGCGACGCTGGATTATACGAAGCATACAATTTGGTTAGGGGATTATTAGGAGTTCGCTACGTTCAACAAGTGTTTCAACCGACCTGAGCTTAGAATTGGCCCACAGGGATCCAATCTATGCACTGTTTATATGTTGATGACCACCATCGCTGCGCCGGGTTTATGAAGTGATTGCGTTCCTTGATCGTTGACGAACCTGCAACACAGGAAAACGCACGTTCTTAGATTAAACGCGTTTGCACATACACTGAGGGTTGTATAGATATTGTGTAGAATTATCGAAATATTTATACAAATTGTGGCGGATATCTGACATTTCAATACCGACGGCACCGAGCGAATGAAAGTTTCACTTCTGATCGGGTGACAACGAGATGTTACCTTAAGCACCTCAAGTGCTGCGCTGCTCTAAGATTTGCTCAAGTGATAATTTTCTAATCATGAAAAGAGAATAGAGAAAAACAAAGAAAGTGAGAAGGAAAGCGATTCGCTTGAAGATACAATTTCTGCTCCATGGCACAATGGCGGACACGAAATTACGCGGGGGATGAGTCACGCTCCGGACTTGCGCGAGAAGTCGGTCCACTCTCTTCATTCTTTCTGCACGATTTATGACGGAATCGAGTAAAATTTCCGACCATTCCCGCGACAATGATATATAATGGTTTCTATTCTAATTGCGAGCGCGCGTGAGCGTCATCGAGAAATTGGATTTGCACGCGCCAAACTAGCCTGAAATGGACGGTCTTACGGCGGATCCATTTAGACCCATGTTCAAATTACTGAGGCGTGTTGGACCATCGGAATTGAACGTATTGGATTTTCGGACGAAGCCGTGCAATTCGACGAGCACGGAAGTCAGCGTAGCGTCGCGCTAAGGCGTACGTTCGCATTCGCACGCTCGTCTCTCGCAGTCGAAGCACCCGACACCTCATACTAGTCGATCGTTACTACCCTCGCGCGCCGTTAGCGGCAACGATGGCGGCCATCGCAGAACGTCCGGCGCTTCTCCGTCCCGGCGTCGGAGGGGAGGATTCGTTTCTGTAATTGATAGCGAAACGTACGGCTGACTGTCGACTCTCTTACGTGCAAGCGCTTTTATGTGCGGCACTGGTGGCGCGTGTAAAAAAGGGGAGAGCTCGAACGTGACCCGTTAAATTTATATTCCGCTAAGTGCACGCGCGAGTACCGCACGTGGTGCGCGTGGTAGACGCGAAACGTCCGTCGAAATTGCGCCCACGGTACTGTGTCTCTCTTTTTCTCTTCTTCCTTTTTTTTTTAACCCCTCTCTCTCTCTCTCTCTCTCTCTCTCTCTCTCTCTCTCTCTCTCTCTCTCTCTCTCCCTCTTCTGCCGAATGCAGCGAAAATGTGAACGACGGGCGGACTAAGACGATGCGCGTTTAATGAAAAGCTGCGCGCGACAGAGACTCTCAAAGCTGCGCTCGCGGCTCACCGGCGTGCTGGCGAACTTTCGCTAACGTTGCGGTTGGCAGACACACCGGGAGGACTCGCGGCGTGGCCGAGAATTTTTCGACGACCTATATACGGGAAACTTTTCCGCGCGCAACTTTTCCCGGACGTTTTCGACCGGCGGCCGGCGATCGTACGCTCCATTTTTGCGGGTCGGGCTTTATCGTGTGACGTAGCGCGCTCGCACGTGAAAAAAGATAACGATAAGGTATCGGCTCCTGTATATTAAAATATACTCTTGTCTCGGGTCGGTGTATATAAAATGAAGGAAACGCGCCGTTCACGAGGCGGGTAAGTGTCGTTTTACGATCTGCTTTGAGTCACACTGGTCACGGTACGATGTTTAAATTTAGATTTACTGAAACGGGAAGAATCCGTAATTTAGTCATTTTATTCTGGGTGCTGGGTAAATTTTGCAAAGACCATACCTCGATGTATATATGTAACACATCACTCAATAAGTTCGTAGGATGACATATAAATGGCGCTACTATCGACAAATCCATATGATTTTTAGGAAGTACTAACCTTCAAATGATACGTGTCAAAATTTCATGACAATCGGACGTTTAGTTCAAAAGTTACAGTGGTTTTAATGACGCACGACGTCGACTCGTTTTAGCAACGCGTCGACGATTCAGCGGGCTGTGTGGAGCTGTTTCAGCGTGATAAAAAGGATTTTTTGATGCGGTATGTGACAATGGATGAAACATGGATCCATCACTACACTCCAGAGTCAAATCGGCAGGGAAAGCTCCAGGGAAAGAGATTCGGCTCCAATGAAGAAGTGATTGCCGAAACTGAAGCCTTGTCATGACATTGAAGTCCGATTGTCATGAAATTTTGACACATATCATTTGAAAGTTAGTACTTCCTAAAAATCATATGGATTTGTCAATAGTAACGCCATTTATATGTCATCCTACGAACTTATTGAGTGATGTGTTATATATATATATATCACGATTTCTTACAATTAATAACACGTTAACTACTACTCGGAATTGAACTTGATTAAATATTATTGCTTACGTCACGTTTGTTTCTTATATAGTACACGTGGAAATGCAATTAGTGGTTGGCAAAGCATGCGCGCGTTTGTACCTCGAAAGAAAGAATCTGGAAGACCTAAAAGAGTAAATGCCGTAGCGAAAGAATCAGTAGAAATAGATAGTTGCGGTCAGCCCGGCAACGGTAAAAGAAACAGTAGAAAACGCCAGTTACGGTCAGACAGCCAGTGTTGGCTAGAGGTTTCTTACATATTCTCTTGTTTTATTCTTATTATGTGTTAAGAGTATACGTTTCTCTTATGTATTATACACAAGAATGCAATTAGCGATTGGCGAAAGACGCGCGCATTCGTGCGTTAAAGAAAAGAATCTGCAAGGGAGCAAGTGCTGTGGAAGTAGAAACTGGTAGAAAGACAGTTACGGTCGGATCCTTTCGCGGTCCGAAAAAGACTCGGTAGAAAATGACAGTCGTGGTCAGAGCAGCAGAGGGGAAAAGAGAGACAGTGGAAAAAGATTGTTGTGGCCGGACCCGCCGATGTTGGCAGAGCGGGGCTTCTTAGCTTAGATTTCTTTCTACAATTCTGCCCGACCGCGCTATGATTTATATCCAACGACTTGACACAGGGTATATTTACGGCCTAGAAAACACGAGATATTCGCGCAACGTTTCTGAGATTCGTTAGAAATACATATGCAGGAGCATTATCAAGAGAGCGGCGCGGGAGTGGCGCGTTGCGCCACATTGCACGTGTACACTTCATTATACGCGACCACTCTCTGTTGTAATGCTGCTTCAGAGATGTAGATATATCGCCTGAATCAGAGCACTGCCTTGTCGGAATAACTATTCATACCAAAACTAAGAACGGGCGAGAATTTCGCGCCAGGCTTAAAATCACGCTCGTGTAAGTTCTCTGTAACGTAAGTCGCGGTTTTCGAGGATTACAAACGCGTTAGTCGATTGCGCTCTTACATTAGAGATGCTCTGTCCCTTTCTCTCTCGATGTTCCTGCGAAATCTACGGGTTATTTCTCTCTCTCTCCCCCCCCTCCCTCTCTCTCTCTCTCTCTCTCTCTCTCTCGAAGTGTGCGAGAGCACTCGCGATATTATCAATATTTTAAAATAATAACGTGGTAACGACAGCGAAACGTTTTCTCGTGAAAAAGTAAATTAAGCTCGCTTCGAAAGAGCGTTTAAATTATTAATCTTTCAATTTTTCAGGTACATTTTTGCTTTCGTTTTGTTGCACGAGAAAAGCGATGAAGATCTTAAATTTTCCATAAACATAAACTCTACGCGCCCTTAAAATTATTTATCTTGGTATTATATTTTCATGCAATGCCGCACGTTTAAAAAGCCATAGCAAAGTTTCGTCGGCGGATTGTAATTTGCTCTTTGCATTTGAATTCCGAGAGAGACGCCAAGCTTAACCATTTTAATGACCGGCAATAAGATATTTACAACGAACTTGGTAATAAGATACTTTATTCTAAGGAGCATCGAGTCAGTTTAAGTAATGCTATAACAGCCTGCGAACGTTGAAGCGAGCATTTATAACCACGCGGCTGTGTATGTATATGCATCCCCGCTCGGGAATCCAGCAGAAAGAAGGGATTATGGGGAGAAACCGACGGTTTTGTTAAAGTAGAACTCTCTGAGATGACCCAATTCTGAAAAAAGGGAGAAGCTTATAGTCTTTGAGAATTGTCATACGTTTCCCGTGACGACGTCGCGTCATTACAGCATTTCATAATCGTCACAATGGAACGTCACGTAGGAGCGATCTTATGAGAAGTAAACAAAAAAAGGAGAAAGAAAGAAAGAAAGAAAGAAAGAAAGAAAGAAAGAAGATCCGCCCAGTAGAGATAATAGAAAAAAACGTGTGAGCCGTTCTCTCTCCCTTGCGCGCAAGCTGAGAATTGAGTTTGGCACGCGCGATGTCTCTCCCCTTTAAGTTCTTGGAGCCGAGGAGGCAGCTATTTCGATAATTAGTCCTGCAAAATAATTAGCACCTGCGCCGCGGGGCGTTCTTTCGGGAATTATGGGAGGGCCGTTTCGCCGTTCTTTAGTCGAATAATTCACACGGACGGGCGCTTCGGCCGTTCTCCCGTTACCTCTCAGGTAACACGTTGCAGGAGGTCCTTGCGAGCTGCCATAGAAATTCCTTTCGCATACCGCTTCCGTCATAAATTAGAGATCCACAATACCCGCTCGTGCAAAGCCACTTAAACCCGAAGAGGCTCTTCGAGAGGGTCTTCGAATAACGCGGAATATCCTCGAAGGATATCCCCGCCATGCTGCGATCTGAGATGCACGTCAATATGTAGTAATACGCCGTCGCTCGTTCCTTATATTCACTCGTCCTTTTTGGATCTATCTAAGATTAATCGAACGTCTAAAACCGCCGTATTCTCACATCGCGGTCGCGAAGACGTCGCACGAGCGACAGCTTTTCCTTTCCCGATTTTCGTCCTTTTCTGAAAACGCAGTGTGAGCTCGTTACACCGTTACCGTCAGTTAACTTTACTTTTATTTGATCAAGGAGAGAGAGAGAGAGAGAGAGAGAGAGAGAGAGAGAGAGAGAGAGAGAGAGAGAGAGAACGAGAGTTATATATAATCTGTAGTTAAAATTCATCCGATCCTTATCTCTTTTACAACTTTAATTTCTGGGTGAGAAACGCGCGGGGAGTCGACAGAGGTACGATGAAAATTAATC